GCGTTGGTTATCGGCATTCGGCGCTCGTTATCGGCGTTGGTTTTTGGCGTCCAAATCAGTCAAGTGGTTTTTAATATTTTATGATTGTTTTTTACTTCTGTACATATACAAATGGTTCTTCAACAAAAACATGTTAAAAACCACCTTTCGTTTTTTGTCTTTTGGTGAAAACCATGTGAAACGGCATAAACTTGGCTAGCCGTGATTTTTACATTAATGAAGTGGTTTTTAAGTTTTTATACTTGGTTTCTACATTAAATACATTATATAAGCGTTTCTAACACTTGTTTTTCATTTTGGAGAACTTTGGTTTTTGACATCGGTTTTCGGCGTTGGCTGTCAAACCATGGTTCTGGCGACCAGGCCCAACATAGATGTAGGATCTTTAACATAGATGTCTGGACAGCGATGTTGGGATTTGAACATCTATGTCTAAATAGCGATGTTGAGATTTGAACATCTATGTTTTTGGCCAGATTAGCTCACGTCAGTCTTGGGCAGTAGGTTTTTGAACAGTGATGTTCATTGTTGAACAGCGATATTTTCAAATGACCGATGGGCTATTTAAGACAAAATCTTTCCATTTTTGAAAGTCAAACACCCCAACATCGATGTAGACTTCTAGACATTGATGTTTTGATGACTGTTAGCCATTTTTAAAGGAAAGTCAAAGCCAAAACAGCGATGTTCACTATATGAACAGCGCTGTCAGGCTAGATTTCAGTAGATCCACTTTTATTTGATTCCCACAAATCAAGCCAATCAACCCCAATTTCTCCCAACCGTTGCACCTTGTTTTTGGGTATAAAAAGGGGTCTCTTGGGTCTACTTTTCACATCCATTTCCTCACACATTTCATAGCTTTACATTGCATCATTTCATAAACTTTTTACATAGCTTTTTAGAGCCATTTCTTGAAGAATTGAGTATGTTCTTGATCTAAATTAGTTTACTCATATTCTACTCTTTAAGAGAGTTTTTGTTCTTGAGTGGTTAAGTGTTGTGAACACTTTAAGGGAGGTTTGTTCCCTTGGTTGTACGAAGGAAGGGCATATTCCTTCAGGTTGAAGTCTTGGAGTGCGGTATCTCCGAGCAAGTGTATTGAGGCTTGTGGGACTCGAGTTCTCAGGTTGTAACGGTTTGTTAAGCACCCGTAAGCTTAACGGAAGGAGTGTAGCTCGTGAGAGTCTCTCGGGAGACTGGACTAGCCACACGTTGTGGTGAACCAGTATAAATCTTGGTGTGCTCCCTTTACTCCTTTTTATTCTGCTCTTTACTTTATCCCTGCGATTTTCATTCCGCAAAATTTTATAAACATTCTCGTGCCTCACTATTCACCCCCCCCCTCTAGTGAAGGGCACCTATTCTAACAAGCGCAAGTTCGATGGCAGTGTGGAAAGATATATACAAGGCTAGGCTTGTTATACTTGGCAATCACCAGGTTGAAGGCATTGACTACAAAGAAACATTTGCTCTTGTAGTCAAGTTGACCACTGTGAGAACACTTTTAGTAGTTGCAGCAGTCAAAGGGTTGGAATTGCATCAGATGGATGCTCACAATGCATTCCTACATGGAGATCTTCAGGATGAGGTGTATATGAGGTTGCCGCCCGGCTTCTCGAGTTCGTCTAATATGGTGTGCAAACTCAAGAAGTCTCTGTATGGCTCTAAACAGGCTCCAAGATGTTGGTTTGCAAAACTGTTTAGAGCATTGAGACGATATGGATTTGTGCAATCTGTTTCTGATTACTCCCTATTTTCTTATGTTGGAAGGAAAGGAGTAATACATGTTCTGGTTTATGTAGATGATTTGATCATTGCTGGTGATAACACTGAGATGATATGCAAGTTCAAGGCTTATTTGGCGGATTGTTTTCGAATGAAGGACTTGGGGACTTTGAAGTTCTTTCTTGGCATCGAGGTAGCACGAAGCACATCTGGGATTTTTCTCTGCCAACGAAAGTACGCCTTAGATATCATTACTTAGGCGGGGTTCTTAGGTTCTAGGCCGTTGGGTGCCCCGAGCCAAACCATCATTTGGCTCGTTCCCAAGCCCCAGTCCTTGCAGATCCAGAACCGTATCAACTGTTGGTAGGAAGGTTGGTCTATCTCTCTGTCACACGCCCATAGCTTTCTTACGCCGTGCATACTTTAGCACAATTTTTCAAGGAACCAAGGGAGGATCAATGGACTGCGGCACTTGAGGTGGTCCGTTATTTAAAAGGATGTCCTGGACAGGGCATTTTTCTTTCTACAGACAGTAGTCTTCAGCTTACATGGTGGTGTGATTCAGACTGGGTATGGTAGTATGTCCTTTGACACGGCGGTCGCTGGCGGGCTAGTTTGTTCAACTTGGGGAATCGCCTGTCTCGTGGAAGATAAAGAAGCAGACAACTGAGGCTGAGTACAGGGCTCTTACTGTTCTTAATTGTGAGTTGAAGTGGCTGAAAATTTTTTACGATATTTGGGAGTTGAACATAAGAACCCTATGACTATTTGTTGTGACAGCACCGCGGCCTTTCACATTGCCGCTAATCTAGTTTTCACGAATGCACGAAGCATATTGAGATAAATTGTCACTTCGTTCGTGATCAGCTCTTACGAGGAGAGATTCGTGCCCTTCATGTACCTACTACGCATCAGCTTGCAGATATTCACACGAAGGCCCTCGGGAAGTCACGACTGGAGTTTCTTATACCCAAGTGTAGCATTTCTTCGTTACATGCTCCAACATGAGGGGGGTGTAAAAGGAAAGAGAATATCAGAATATTTGGGAGATAATTTCGTATATATTAGTTTTGATAGTTTCCTTGTATAGGGATTCCTTTTCCTTTGTTAATTAGGATTCTCCACTATATATGTATGCCTTGGTTGTAAATTGTACACACAGAAAATAATACAGAGAATTTCCTCTCAAACAATTCTTTCATCATGCGATCGAGGAATGCCATTGAAAAAAAATAAATTGAATTAGAAAAAAAAACCAAAACATAAAAATCAAGATCTCACCACTCCAGAGAAGAACAAATTGAGGAGTCACACTAGATGTTGAGATACAAAACTATAGACATCTGGAAATGAGCACGAGATATTAAAAAAAGGATGAACGTCAATTTAGCACTGAAGCCGAGGAATGTTGCTTTCGACTAGGGGAGGTGAAAGAATAATGAATTGGGAGGAAATTCTCTCTGGATTTTTCGGTCTTCAATTTACAAAGTAGACATGTATATATAGGCTCTCACAGGTTGAGAAACCTAAACACAAAAGGAAACGAAATCAACCCTATACAAGGAAGCTACCAAAAATAATATATACCAAAATATATATGAATATTCTCTTTCCTTTAACACCCCCCCTCAAGTTGGAGCATGTAATAACGAAATGCCCAACTTGGGAAGAAGAAACTCCAAACGTGACTTCCCGAGTGCCTTCGTATGAATGTCTGCAAGCTGATGCGTAGTAGGCACATGAAGTGTACGAATCTCTCCTCGCAAGAGCTCATCACGAACGAAGTGACAGTCAATCTCAATGTGCTTCGTGCGCTCGTGAAAAACCAGATTAGCAGCAATGTGAAGTGCCGCCGTGCTGTCACACCGGACCGTCATGGGGTTCTTATGCTCAACCCCTAAACACCGCAATATATTCTTCAACCACTTCAACTCACAAGTAAGGACAGCCAAAGCTCTATACTCTGCTTCAGCAGACGAGCGAGCCACCGTCGACTGCTTCTTTGTTTTCCATGAGACAGGCGAGTCTCCAAGCTGCACAAACCACCCTGTCAATGACCGCCTCGTCAAAGGACATGCTGCCCAGTCCGAATCACACCATCCTGTGAGTTGAAGGCTACTGTCTGCAGAGAGGAAAATTCCCTGTCCAGGACATCCCTTCAGATAACGAACAACTCTAAGAGCCGCAGACCACTGATCCTCCCTTGGTTCCTTCAAAAATTATGCTAAAGTGTGGACTGCGTAGGAAAGTTCAGGTCGTGTAACCGAGAGATAGACCAATCGTCCTACCAACCGTCGATACGGTTCTGGATCTGCAAGAACTGGAGCCTGAGAACGAGCCAAATGATGATTTGGCTCCATTGGTGCACCCAACGGCCTGGCGCCCAATAAACCTGCTTCAATAATAATGTCCAAGGCGTACTTTCGTTGGCAGAGAAAAATCCCAGATGTACTACGTGCTACCTCGATGCCAAGAAAGAACTTCAAAACCCCAAAATCCTTCATATGAAAACAATTTGCTAAATAAGCCTTGAACTTGCTTATCATTTCTGCGTTGTCTCCGGCAATAATCAAAACATCAACATAAACCAAAACATGAATTACTCCTTTCCACCCAACAAACGAAAACAAGGAGTAACCAGAGATAGACTGGACAAATCCATAGCGCTTCAAAGCTCCAGACAACTTTGCAAACCAACATCTAGGAGCTTGTTTTAAACCATAAAGTGATTTCTTGAGTTTGCACACCACATTAGAAGAACTTGAGAATCCTGGTGGCAATCTCATGTATACCTCATCCTGTAGATCACCATGTAAGAAAGCATTATGGACGTCCATCTGATGCAGCTCCCATCCCTTGACTGCCGCAACAGCTAAAAGAGTCCGTACCGTGGTCAACTTGACTACAGGAGCAAATGTTTCTTTGTAGTCAAGCCCTTCAACCTGATGATTACCAAGGACCACAAGCCTGGCCTTATATCTCTCCACACTGCCATCAGACTTGCGTTTGATCTTATACACCCATTTGCACCCTAGGGGCTTTTTATGATGAGGGGGACGGATAAGAGTCCAAGTGCCATTTGCTTCTAGGGCATCAATTTCTTCTCGCATAGCCTTCCTCCACCGCTCATCTTGGAATGCCTGCTTGTAACCCTTGGGCTCCACTTCTGCATCAAGAGCTGTGAGAAAACATTTATGTTTCTGAGAAAACTTCTCATATGTGACATACGACGAGAGAGGATATTTGCATTTCTCCCCGACATATGGTCCAACCACATGGGTAACATAATCGGCAAGGCGTACATTTGGACGTTTCTCACGCTGACCACGTCCCAAGTTCTCCACCGCTGGCTGGGAAGGGGATGGTCGACCGCCGTCCGTGGAACGGTCCACGGGGTCGACCGTCTGAAGCTGTTCTGGATCGCTAACTTTCTGCCTCGGAGACGTTCGACCGTCTTCCTCATCACGGTCGACCGTTTGATCATCTCCCAAAGAACCGTCATTCTGCCTCTCGGACGGTCGGCCATGGATATCAGGACGGTCCACCAGGTCGACCGTTCGGTCATCTCTCTAGAATCCGTCATTCTGCCTCTCGGACGGTCGACATGGACATCGGAACGGTCCATCAGGTCGATCGTCTGTAGCCGATCTTCTCTGCCGCTTTCCTCCGGTCGACCGTCCCTCCTAGAACGGTCCATCTGTTCTTCCGTCCGCAGTTCTTCATCTTCATCATAACAGCTAACCTCATTTGTAGTTCCTGTATCAAGAGATGCACCTGTAGGAGTCAAGAAAGGGAAAATATCTTCACAAAACACAACATCCCGGGACACTTTGATTTCACCAGTGTCCGGGTAGTAAATACGCCATCCCTTCTTCCCTTGTGGATATCCAACAAATATTCCAGGAATGCTTCTTGGTGCAAATTTATCGCCATTCCTTTTCAAGTTATGAGCATAACATCTGCATCCAAAAACACGAATATGAGCCAAAGAGGGTGGCTTTTCATAGATCTTCTCGTATGGTGTGACCCCCCCTAGCAAAGACGAAGGTGTGCGATTGATCAGATGTGCGGCGGTCTGTATACATTCTCCCCAGAACTCAATCGGAAGACCAGCCTGAAATCTCAAAGCCCGACCCACATTCAAAATGTGTTGGTGCTTGCGTTCTACTCTCCCATTCTGTTGTGGAGTAGACACACAAGACGTCTCATTAATAATTCCTTGCTCCTGGAAATATTTGTTTAAACATTCAAATTCTGTGCCATTATCACTGCGAACACACTTTATTTTCTTCCCAAATTGTCGTTCTACCATAGCACAGAATTGTTTAAAAACAGTGCCAACCTTGCGTTTGGAATCAAGCAAATGTACCCAAACACCTCTTGAAAAATCATCCACAATGGTCAAGAACATTGTAGAACCATCAAAACTTGGAGTCCTATATGGTCCCCATAAATCACAGTGTATCATATCAAATTTATCAACAGATTGATAAAAACTTATAGGAAAACTCCCACGAGTCTGTTTAGCACGCAAACAAATGTTACAACAACTGTGACTACTCTTACTTGTTCCAACTTCAGGAACAAGAGACAAAACATGGGAGGAAGGATGTCCAAGTCGTTTGTGCCAAAGATCAAACTTACTCTCCTTCGCACTGCACACCATCTTCTTTTCAGGCTCTTTGAAGTAATAAAGTCCTCCTTCCTGCTCACTCATACCAATTTCTATCTTCAAACACAGATCCTATAGTATACACTTATTGTTGGCAAAACGTGCCTCACAATTCGAATCCCTTGTCAATTGTGACACAGAGATTAAATGGCAACTCAAAGTAGGAACATATAGGACATCGTGCAGAATTAATGTTTCTGTTAATTTAATCTTCCCAGATTGTACAGAAACAATTCTTTTCCCATTGGGCAAACCAATCTCACATGGTGATATTCCCACGACATCATGCAATAACAAAATATCACCAGTCATATGATTCGATGCCCTAGTATCTATGATCCAACGCGGTGACACAGGAATACCTGAAAGCTTCATACTAGAAACACACGATGATAGGGAGAAAAACATCTTCCTTGGTTGTTCATCGGCCAAAGCGGTAGCAGAGTGGCGTACGGCGGTGGCGGAGGAATCAACAGCAGCATCAATCAAACAGTCTGCCGACGGGACGGTCGACGTGCTCGACCGTTCTAGAGCAACGGTCGACCGTTCCATTATCCGGCAACAACAACAATCGACTAAAACTGAGCAACGATTGATGGACACCATGCCGGGCGATCGTGAACAGTAGTCACAGAAAAATTCTAGGGTTTTGGCTCTGATACCATGAAAGAATAATGAATTGTGAGGAAATTCTCTCTGGATTTTTCAGTCTTCAATTTACAAAGTAGACATGTATATATAGGCTCTCATAGGTTGAGAAACCTAAACACAAAAGGAAACGAAATCAACCCTATACAAGGAAGCTACCAAAAATAATATATACCAAAATATATACGAATATTCTCTTTCCTTTAACAAGAGGCGCGAAGGAACCGATCAGGCAAAAAACAGAATGCTCCTTTGTTTCTAATTATTGGGCTTAAGTAATTAAATTAATCTAGTATTGGACTAACGATAAAATATAAAATGAGCCCTTATATTTTGGAGGCCCTGTGCAGGGGAACCTAGTGCACTTACTTATGGGCGGGCCTATTGTTAGGGCTGGACACAGTACGATTCTGATTCTCTCACGGATTTCGTTACTGCCGCCATAGGGGACCGTTATCGACACCGAATTTCCCGGTTCCAAAACCGGGGATTTCGGGACCGGTTCCGGGCTGGTTCAGTGGTTCTAATTTTTTATATGATTGAGATGTTAAACAAATTTAAAAGTTTTTATAAATTCTAACTTCTAAGAATGTAGTTGTTATTTAAATTTCTTAGCTTTTGAAAAAAATCATATAAAATCGTAAAAAAAAGTTGGTCTGACTGATTCGACCAGCCAGTTCTTACCGGTTCAGACTGGTTTGAAGCTGATTGCGGTCTAAAGGGATGGACCAGACCGATTGGACCACCGGTTCACAGTTCGAACCGGCCGGTCCGATCTAGTTTTTAAAACTATGATTAAAAAATTAAAAAGCGTCCCAAACCAAGTGTTAGGCTTGTAAATTGTAATTGTTAGGGCCGGACACGGTACAATTCCGTTTCTGGAATCACCGATTCTGTTACTGCCGCCATAGGGGATCGTTACCGATTTCTCGGTTCCAGAACTGACGGTTCTGGGCCGGTTCGGCGGTTCTAATTTTTTTATATGATTGAGATGTAAAAAAATTTATAAGTTTTTATAAATTCTAACTTCTAAGAATGTAGTTGTTATTTAAATAATAAAAATTGAATAATGCAACTACATTTAAAATATTAACAATTCAAAAAAAGTGACGAGGTAAAGAACCATAAAGATACCCTCGAAGAAGCTTATAAATTTCTCACCTAAAAAACTAATTACAATTTAAAATAAAAATACAAATTTATTCCTCGGAACTACCACTTCCATTTGTGGTTGCATCCATGTAATTTTGTGTATCAATGTCGTACCCTGACTCTTGGGCTCGACCTCTTGCCAAGAGCCAATCTCGGTTGCAAACAAGTGTTTCAAACGATTCAGAGTTAAGACAATTTTGGTAGTCAATTAGAATGTTGTCGCTAGAAATGAACTCTTGTTCCACAGCTACAGTTAGTGGTGGGCACGGGCCGGTCCGAGCCAAGATTTGTATAAACTGGACTCGGCTTGTTTTTATTAAAACGGTCCGGGCCGGAACGGGTTTTCAAAATTTTAAAATTGAAACCGGACCTAACCCGACTTGTTTGAAATGGGCCGATTCTACGGGTCAACGGGTCTGAACCTATCATGATACTAATATTAAAAAAATTAAGGGATAATAAATTAATTTAAGTCATCCAACACAAAAAAGAGGCGTAAATGAAAATAAAACAATGACAAAGAGGGGCATGAGAGTAAAGTGTACACCTCATGATCATCCAACAACAACAAAAAAAAGAATACAACCACATTTTGGCAATATAATGTCAATGGGTTCCAAAAGAAAAAAATTCACAATCTTCATGGGTTCCGACTCTCCGACTACGAAAGGTTTTCTCACTTTTCTGCCTGCGATTTGAAGGGCCGACAGATTGAAGGGCTTAGGCAGGTATATTTTCGTATATCCATATATTTACTAGAAATAATATTAAAAATAATATTAGGATTTCAAAAAATGGTCCGGTCCAGGTCCAATACAATTTCAAAATTGGGAACCGGACCGACCCTAAAATCTATAAGGACCGGACCGACCCGGACCGTTTGAAATTTTTGAAAAGAGGACCCGACCCTAACCCGGACCGAACCTAGCGGTCCGGTTCCGACTCCCGGTTCTTGGACCTGATTGCCCACCCCTAGCTACGGTTGAAATCAGCATTGATAACACTTGTATGGCTAGCATTTTGAGTGCCCTGAATATGTGTTCATTCCGCTTCCAAGAGTCGAGGATGTCAAACTCGCTATCATTGTCATAGTTGCATAGGACCCCTTGATACATCATAAGTTCGTTGTGCGAACTTACACTTATACTACCTATACTCATCGAGGCAGACCTACGCTTGCCTTTTTGGGAAAGAAGCCATTGACTATCCCTTTAAAACTTTTTTTGTCTTGGGAGCCGGAGGAACTGCTGTTGCTTCTGGTGGAGTTTCGTATAAAACTTGAAATTGTTTAAATAATGACTCAAAAAGGTCAATAGCATAATCTCTATCTTTTGTCCATTCTGTTAAATGGTCATAGAAATATTCATTTTCATCTAAAAACAACTATAGTAATACTCCATAAGAATTTTAAAATTCTTTAATAGCACTATTAGTAGCATTATCAAAAGCAAATGCGAATATTTTATCAAGTAAATTGTATTCTTTTAGGATACACTCAACTATAGTAATGCTCCATTCATTTTTATAGAAATATTCATTTTCATCTAAAAAACAACTATAGTAATACTCCATATCATGAAAATTTTAAAATTATTTAGCAGTACTATTAGTAGCATTATCAAAAGCAAATGCAAATATTTTTTCAAGAAAATTGTATTCTTTTAGGATACACTCAAGCAAAAGAACAAAATTTTCACCTGTGTGAGATTCATTGAAATCACAAAATGCAAGAAAACGTTTACTACATAACCCAATTACTATATATCCAATGATAAGTAACACCCATGTAAGACAAATTATGAAAACTTTCACTCCAAATATAAAAAAATAGAAACACAAGAATTAAAAGTAAGAAAAAAATTGACAAGTTATTTTTTTCAACTTTATATTGTCTAATAATTTCTCTCTTAATTGTTTTTCTTGAAAAACCTCTTGCTTGATATTTTAGTGCAGTTTGACAATAATCAATAAATCCAAGTTTTCTAGAAAACATAAATGGTAAGTTTACTTCACAAATCATTTCGGCCATTTTTTACTTATTTTTCTCATCGCTATATGAAAAAAGGTCACCCTTATCCTTGTTTGCCAAAGGAGAAAGTTCTATTTGTACTTCTCCATTCTTTGCCATCATTTTGACATACTCCATGTGTGGGTCGTTTCCCCCACTTTGAGGCGGGTGCCTCACTTTGAGGTGTTTGGTCAGTCCACCATAACCCCTGAAAGTTTCCATTTTTATGGTTATCCCACAATGTCTACAAGTTCGAATAACCACACTATTTTTTTCTATCTTTATGAAAATGGTATACACATAAATTAGATTTATAGTTTTTACCTTTCATCGGACCCTCAGAGGTCTCGGGCTCACCTGTCTCCTCGTCCCTCTCGGTAGGATCGTTACTATCGGGTTTTGGTTCCTCGACCTCTTCAACATCCTAGAATATATTTTCACGAGTTTGAAGATTGAAATCATTCCTATCTCCCATTTCGCCCATGAATTGAGTGAAATTTTAATCACTCATAGCGTCACCTATGAACTGCTCGGGGATTGTAGGAAAGGATGAGAGAGAGTGTCTCCCTTGAGAATCACGTGAGCTTGAACCTTTGAATGTGGCGTGGATTTGCCTCGATTAGAACCTTCACGGTTCACAATGCCCATATCTACATACGTTGTACCAGACTCCCTCGACATTTTAATATTTTGTTATATTGATAAAAAATAAGAAAATATATTAGATTATACTCCCTCTATCCCTTATCTTTCTTCTCTCTTTCCTTTTTGGACTGCCCTATTTGATTCTTCCTATTTCCTAAAATGGAAATAAAACACATCTAAACTTACCATTCTACCCTTGCTTTTCTTCCTCTCTCTCTCCCCCACCCATTTTTCTTTTTCTTTCTGTCTCCCGTCAGTCTTAGCCACCCATTTCCCTTCTTATATTTCTTCCTCCCCAACTCTCTTTCTCCATATTCTTCTTTCGTGCCAACACCCCCTTCTCCTCCTCCTCCTCCTCCTCCTCCCCCTCCTCCTCCATCTTCTTCTTCTTCTTCTTCTTCTTCTTCTTCTTCTTCTTCTTCTTCTTCTTCCCGAATGCCCCTTCTCATGTTTCTTGTTTAGCATCACACCTCACCCCACACGTATTCTTCGTTTTCTTCTTTTAACCATAACCCACCTCCTTTTATGCAAACACGTGTCAATTCTGGTATATCCAAGCCGAAAATATATACAATCACCGCTCTTGGTAATACCCCTCCTACTACCGATCGAGCTTAGCACCTATAACCAAGCCTCACGGAATATTTTTTTTTGCAAGATTATGGATGAAGAATTTATAGCTTTGAATAAATAGCATGCTTGGGATTTGGTACCACCGTAGAAACATCACACTCTAGTTTGTTGTAAGTGGGTATATTTCATTAAACAAAACGTTGATGGATATGTTTCATGATATAAAGATTGTCTTGAGGCCAAAATGTGACATTAATTACAAGGAGACATTAAGTCTCGTTGTCAAGTAGCAAACAATGCACATTTTTATCTCCTTGGCTCTACATCATGATTGCCCTATATATTGATCACATGGATGTCAGTAATGCCTTTCTACATGGCACTGTGGACAAAGAAATTTGTATGGAGAAATCACCAATTAACATAAACCCACAACGACCACATTATGTTTGCAAGTTGTGGAAGCCCTTATATGGCCTCAAATAGGTCCCAGGTGCGTGGTACACACGCATGTTATCTTTTTGCAGGGTCTTGGTTTATGTTGTTATACCCATGACACAAGTTTGTTCACTCTCCATTGTTCTCGAGGAACAGTTACCATCCTGATCTATGTTGATGATATTGTCATTACGGGAAGTTCTCCAACGCTTATTTCTGAAATAAGGTTATGCATCAAGACTTCTAGTTGAAATCACTAGGCCCTTTACATTTTTCCCTTGGCATTGAGGTAAAGCATATTAAGGATTTCATTCTCCTCCATCAAACAAAGTACTTTTAGTTATATATCTTATAGGGAGAACTCCTAGAGTATGAGTAAAAAATTATAAAAATAACAAAATATAAGTCCCAAGTCTTTTAAGACAAAACAAAAAATTCACATTACCCTTGTTAGACTACAACACTCACAACATTATCACAATGCAACTACCACACTGCCATCCATTACCACTAGCCACAAGAGTGACCATGCAGATAGCTGACCACTCATACTATCATATTACACTATCATGACTTTTACCATCAGACTCCCAAAGCGTACTCTTATATCACACTACTATTATACTCCTATTCTAGTTTTAAAAGACATACGACTCCTATTTTGATATTTTCATACTTTTTACTCTTATCTAGAGATATTTCTTTGATATAAGTTTGAAGTTACTTTTTATTGATTATCATTTTATTTAATTAATTTTGTATGGTTTTAGTTGTTTTTCTCATTTTCATTAGCTTTTATACCTATTTGTTTTATTTTTTCTAATGTAAGATTAATCTTTAAAAAAGAGAAAAAGAAATGGTGGAGGTAAATATTCATTTGAAAAATTTAAGGAAAATTTCAAAAATTAAAAAAAAAATTCATAAAAAATTCATAAAAATAATTTCAATTTTCATTTTGTTGTGCAAAATTGGTCTTCGTTAACAAGTCGTTAGCAGCGTAAAGGTAACCCAAAGCTCACAAATTTCTTTAAAGTTTGGAATATTACACATCACAATGAAAAGTGAGTTTATTTTTGAAAGATCATATAAAGTTAGATTATTCCAGATTTTTTTATTTTCAATGAATTTTGTTTATAATTTGGAGATAAAATCATAGAAGTAGTTATTTCTTTATATTTTATTTTTACTCTGTTCTTTCTCTCATAAATTACTCATTTACAACTAACTTCGTCCTAACACTTTCTTCTAAGTGATTATTCACTTCGTCAAAATTAAATTACTATTTTTCTTTTACTTATTTTCGTTAGTTATTTCATATGATAATATAATATTATCACATCTTGTGTTGTAGATTGTTTAATATAGTTTTTAAACATATAATTTTTACTTTTTAAAATACACTTAGAACCAAATAGATTGAATTAAAATAACTTTAGTCAAATCTCGTAAATCAAAGTGGAAAAACAGAGTGACTATTAGAGCTTGTTCTTTAAGACTAGAAAAAAAGAGCTGGATGTTGGAAGAAACTGGAAAAAACTGGAAGAAATTGGAAGGAACTGGATGAACGGGAAGAGACTGGAAGAAAATGAAAAAAACTTGAAAAAATTGGAAAAAACTAGAATAAACTGGAAAAACTTCAAAAAATTGGAAAACCTAAAAAAACTTTACAAAAATTTATTTTAAATTTCTTGTTGTTATAAATTATTATTATTATTATTATTATTATTATCATTATTATTATTATTATTATGATCATCATCATCAGATTATCTTAATGAATACATTTAAGATACAAAAAAAGTATTTTTATTTTTCAAATACAAAAACTACTTTTGCAAAAAATAGATATAATATAAAGTTAGCATAAATATAAAAATATAAAATTTTAAAAAGTTTTTGTGGTTACATTGCACCTCAATTTATTTATGCAGTACTCATTATAAATAATATATTCGTCATTATACTTTATATATTACAAGATTTTGTTTAAAATAACAGACATGTTACATAATGTATTCAAACCTATTTTTTTTCATGATTTACTTATATTTTAGTCTTTTTCTCTAAACTATTTTGACTCACAATTTTTTTTATAAAGATTAGAAAAATGAGCAAATTTTAAGTAATAAAGAGAAAGGTGAGAGGTATTATATAAAGTTAGATTAATAAAACATTCTATGTCACTATTTTATCCATAATTTTTAAATATAGTTTAACATATTGATGCTTTCCTGTTTTATCATGTAGATTAATATACAATAAATTTTCTTATTCATACTAAAAAGTTGAAGAAAAAAATAATGAGTCTTAATCATAACAATAGTGAGATGAAAAATAATTTATAAACTATAGTTATGAACATAGCACTTGTAATAATGATGATGATGATGATGATGATGATGATGATGATGATGATGATAATAATAATAATAATAATCACATTAAAAATATATCGTTTTTAGAGTAAATTGTTGGGGAGTAAAAAAAGTTTGAAAAAAATGAGAATAGTTGGAAGAAACTGGAAGAAATGGGAAGAAACTGGAAGGAACTGAAAGAAACTAGAAGAAACTGGAAGAACTGGAAGAAACTGGAAGGAAATGGTAGAAACTAGAAGGAACTAGAAGAAACTGAAAAAAATTGGAACTTAAGACTTCAAGCTCTAAAGAACATGCACTTAGAGCATTCACAATGACAAATAAAGAATTGGAATGTCACACGTTGATGTGACAAAATTGAACCAATTACAAATTACACAGTCATTTTTAAAATTTTTAATCTAATTTAAAAAATTAAAAAAAGGAGCGTGACAGCTTGAGTCTACCTCACTTCTTGTGGAGGAACGCCCAAAAAACGCGAGGCATATCTGATGTGGTGCGAGGGATCTGCGGATGTGGCAGCGTGCCAATTAAAATGGCACGCCATTTCCATTGCTCTTAATGTACGATATTCTCCTCTTTACTTTTTTGGGGTGAAATTTACAAATATATAGGGGAGATGAATAGAATTTGTTTTTAATGCGTTGGAATTATGCAAAATTGAAGCAACGGAGGAGGAAGTATTTTCGGTACTTTACACGACATGATGGAAAGATAAGATAGAGAAATACATTTCAAAGGTCTCTCTCTCTCCTCCGCCTTCTCTCTCCTCTCTCTTCCCGGAACCCCCGAAGAGCTGTTTACCCCAACAAGTAAGTGTTCTTTCTTTTCTCTCAGAAAAATCTGGGACCTTTTCTCTTTCTCTCTCTCCCCTCTCCTCTCTCTTTCACCCCTTTAATATTTATTCAAAATTTCTTCCCCACGTTTGGCTCTGCCCTGCTTTTTCCATTTGCATATTTATTTTGGCTTATTCAGCAGATTCATTCGTGATCGTGTTCAGATCCGATCAATCTCGATTAGATCCGTGTTTGTATTCATTGGGACTGTAAATTTTTTCGTTGATTCGTATTGGTTGTGTGTAATTTGGCTATAATTTGCCTGAGGATTTTATTTATTTCGTTTTTAATCTCACCTTTATCCTTATGTGCTTTTTTTTATTGGGGGAAAAAATTTCGATTAGCAATGTTGAATTTTGGTATTAGCGAGTTCGAGGAATCGTTTATTTCTGATTTTGGTATCGCTATTCGGATCTGCATGATGCGGTGCTTTATTACTATTATGTTAGGGCTTCTTCGACTGCCAAAATTCATGGCTTTGTTTGATGTATTGATTTTAAGGTGGTTTTTGCAGTGTTAATTTATGGCCCTTTAATGCTTCTTCTAAAAGTTGGGTGAGAATTTTAATGTAGGGTTGATTTATGTATATGTTGACTGTAGCTGTAGCTCTCCAGATGGATGATGATGGATTGAACATGAGGAACTGGGGCTATTATGAGCCAACCCATAAGGGACACCTCGGTCTCCAGTTAATGTCATCGCCAGTTGATCTAGACACAAAGCCCTTCCTTTCTGCCTGCGATAACAACAATAATCCGAATATGATAGTTAGTAATGGGCTTTTCCATCCACGGGATTCGATTGTTTCTCAGGTGCCCATATCACACATGGACTACATTAGAGATGGTTGGATAAACCACAGAGATAAATTTTTGCTTATGTTTCCCGGGAATCATTATGGTGGAATTGTGGCTGACCCTTCTGGAACTCAGTCCCCTGTCCAAATGTTACAACAGCATCCTCAATCAGCCTGTAAGGATCCAAATACAAGCTCTACTACTGCTGAAGATCCAATCGGTGATCTTTCAAAGAAGAGATCAGGACCTGATGTTTTGCCTCCCAAAGGAAAGAAGGCGAAGAAAGGAGGGCCATCGGCATCAATGAAAGATGTCTCCCCGCCTGGCAAACGTTCAAAACCAGCAAAGAAGACCATTGATGTTGTTATATGTGGGACTAATATGGACATATCAAGCATCCCTACTCCAGTGTGTACCTGCACTGGAACACCCCAACAGTGTTACCGGTGGGGGTGTGGGGGCTGGCAGTCAGCATGTTGCACCACAACTATATCTATGTACCCTTTGCCTATGAATAACAAAAGACGTGGAGCGAGGATTGCAGGGAGAAAGATGAGTCAGGGTGCATTCAAAAAGGTTTTGGAGAAACTTGGTGTTGAAGGCTATAACTTTGATGACCCTATCGATCTCAAGACTCACTGGGCTAAGCATGGAACGAACAAGTTTGTTACAATCAGGTAATGCTGTATCGATCTCCATACCAGTTCTGTCATTCCAGTCTTTCATGTTATAGCTTGTATATATTTAAGTGGTATTTGTCATTTCAGAGCGGTGATCCATAACCCTATGATACTTGAGATCAAATTCTTTTTCTTTTGCACCTAGTGTAGGAGACTTAAACATTTCTTTATTTATGTATTAGATTTTTTTGTGCTATTCTGCACTCAACTTTATCCTTTCCAGTATTGAAATTCTTGGTCATCACATACTGTTTTGGATATCAAAAATGATAGAGTGGATGTGAAACAAACTCTATTTACATGGATGCTGAACCCCAACCCCAGGTCCCCCAGTACCGGCTCTTTACTACTCCCTACGTCCCTTTAAACATGGGATGTTTTGATTTTGAAGAGATTTAAGGGGAGTGTATTTTGGTATTGCATTTTCAAAAATGTCCTTAGATGTGATGAGTAAAAGTAGGATTTGATGAGTAGATTAATAGTAAAAAAGTATGATGTGATAGGTAGGGTATGAAAAATAAGGGGTAAAATTGACTTTTTAATAGAAATAAGAAGTATTTTTTGGGACGGATGAAAAAAGAAAAGAGAAAGGTTTTCAAGGACGGAGTATATAGTATTCCTAGTAACCATGAATTCTGTGAAGTTCTTTTTTTCGTTTTCCCTAATGAAGTTTTCCGCTTTCCTTAAAATGCAAAAAGCTTGTGTTACATATTGTATTTTTCTACTCCAAGCAAGTTTTAAAATTTCAATTTCTTTCCTAAAAAATTGATTTCTTAATACTTTTGTCTAAATTGTCAAAGCTCCGTTGGGATGGAGGCACTATGATATTTATGTATGAAACCATCCCATTTATATTGAGATGAATGGTGGTTGATTGATGAATGAAAATTGTTCTTGACAAGTGGAACAAAGACTACATGTGGACTAAGAATAACAACGCATTTGTATACCCCGGCCAATTTGATTATAGATTGTCACCCGAATTGGGGAGGTGGGTCACTGTGGCTGGTGGGGGGGGGGTTATATGGGTGGGTTGGGGAGTGGGTTTATATGGGGTTAGGAAGGGTATGAACCATTTTGGAAACAAACAACTG